GAACTTTTGGTCTCCAGAGGATTTACTGAACTTTGGGATTGAGTGTGCAGACTCTGACAGCAGCACACCATCTCCCTCGGCTATTCTTACAAAAGCTAAGAGAGGGTGGCTTTGGTTAGTCCATGGATGGGAGACCACTAGGAAATCCCAGGCCCATAGGCTAGACAAGGAAGTTAGGGGAAAAAACATCCCAGACCCCATTTGCTCTCCCAGAGGAAAGCAAAGGCAAACCACTTCTGTGCCTTTGTCAAGAAAACTATTCGGAGGTGTCCATCCAGTGGCCATCAACTAGCAAAAATGGCTAGTTCACGGTTCATTCAGTGGTGGAAATCCAGCCACCTGGGTTAGTACAGTAAACCATGGGTTAATTCCAAAAATGTAAAATGATATCTGAATCTGTCTGACTTCCCCCTCCCCCAAATAAAACAAATGATTTCATTAGGTTTATATGTGGGCAATACATGAACAAACCACTTTAATAATACAATTTTAATGCATGCATGAGGACCTGCATAAATGCTTTAAATAGATGAATAACTAAAACTCGGTGGGCAGGAAGAGGGGCCCCACTCTTTCTGTGGGGAGCATCCAGAGTCCACTGGAGTTGGATGGCCGATAAATTTAAATAAATAAATAAAAATAAAATCTTAAACAGTCAGAAATTCAACCAGGGAAGACTTTCTTTGCACGGAAACTGTTAAAAGGCACAGGGCCTCTGCAGAGGAGAGAGTAGAGGGAGGAAAAGAAGGGAACATACTGTGTTTTTTATTTATTAATCAAATTTATATAGCTGATATATTTATTTATACAGTATAGTAGTGTTTCTCAACCTTGACTGCTTTAAGACGGGTGGACTTCAACTCCCAGAATTCCCCAGCCAGCATTCTGGGAATTCTGGGAATTGAAGTCCACCCGTCTTAAAGTTGCTAAGGTTGAGAAACACTGTAGTATGTATTTGTAGATTGACTAGAAATACAAGCCAGGATGGAAACGATGGGAGTTATCAGCCAACATTTCTGGAGGGCATCACATTGCAGAAATGTTTGCATTTCTCTTTGCTCCCTTCTCCTCGCCCCCCCCCCGTATTTTTTTCTCCAAAAACTTCTTGGGAAATGGAGTCCGATTCCAGCCAGCCGACAGGGCTCCGGAGGAATAAACACCTGCTAAAAAGTAATAAAACAAGAGAAAACTGGAAAAAATCTGAAATGAGACATTTGGAGAAGGAAGGGGCCAAAAACTTGGTGCTAGACATTTTGGAGGGTTTTCAAAGTTTGGGGTTAGAGGAGTAACTTCCTACCGTCACTCTGGGGAACAATCATATATCTTTTTAAGGCAAGCTGTTTTCCTCTTCACTTGTCTCCAGGCTCGCCTGCAGGGCCCCTCGGCCAGGGCTTGCCCCACAAATAAGAGCCTTCCCCTTCAGCTGTCCTACGTGGGAATTTCCAGTGCCACTTTCCCACGGCAGGCAGAGCAGGAAGTTGTGGCTTCCAGGTTGACTCACCTCCCCATAAAAAGAAAAAGAAACTGCCTCTCTAGCCAGCGGTTCATGCAAATGTTAGCCCTACTTTAGATCTGAGGCTCCAGGGCAGTGTTTCTCTCACTTTGCTGGGGGCCTCCACGTTTTGCCCCTGCGCCCCCGTCGGGCCGTGTCACCCTACATACACCCCACTCCTGCAGCCTCCCCG